TTTTGCAAGACCCTGTCTCAATATAAAAAAAAAAAAAGGGCTGGGTAAAGTGCCCTGGGGTTCAATCTTAGTACCAATAAATAAATAAATAGATAAATATTGATATTGAGGGATTAAACTCAGGGGCACTTTGTCACTGAGCCACATCCCTAGCCCTTTTTATTTTGAGACAAGGTCTTGTTAAATTGCTTAGGAACTGGCTAACTTGCTAAGGTGTGGAGTGGGAACTTGTAATCCTCCTGTCCGAGGCTCCAAGTTGCTGGGATTACATGTGGGTATAACTACACCCAGTTAAAAAGTTTATTTTGAGACAAGGTATTACTAAATTGCAAACAGTGGCCTAAAACATGCAATCCTCCTAATCCAGCCTCCCGAATAGCTGAGATTACAGGCATATATCACCTCAAACAGCTTACTTTTTTCCAAAACTCAAAAGATAAGCAAAAGCAGCCTGTATTCTTCAAAAATGTCAGTTTCATAAAGATTGGCGAACTGGTCACATTGAAGAGATTATAGAGAGAAATGACAATTAAAAACAATGCATGATCCTAGATTGGAAAAAATAAAAAGGTCACTGGAGTATATTGGAAAAATCATCAAAATTTGACTATGGATTTTATATTAGATAGCAGTACTATATCAGTGTTAAAAAAATCCTCATATTTCAAAATTACACTGAGGTTATAAAAGGATGTTTTTTGTGTTTAGTTCAGATATGGACTGAAGTAGAGGCCAAGGCTCATAATCTCTGTAGCTTAATCTCAAATGTTCTCTAGGAGGAAAATATATGTGTATATTACTGTCTTATACATTAAATATGTGCATTAATATCTACATGTCTACCTCTATACGTACAGAGATTAATATAGCAAAATATTCCCAATGGGCAACTTTAATGATTTATAAGAGTTTGTTATAATCATTTTACTATTTTTCTGTAAGTCTGAAATGGCTTCAAAAAGTTTAATTTACAAAATATGTAAAGTTATAGAAGTAATAAAATTTAAAAATTTACAGGGAAATACCAGTTAGCCAAATTAGCTAATACTTTTAAAAATCGCTTCTTTATTCCTAAAAATAACCACTAGCTTTTGAGAGATGCCAGTGATTCTTCAACAGATTTGTGTTTTCTGCTTTTCATACAGTAGTGATAGCACCCTCGATGGATGACTCATGCTGTAGACACTTTGAGCAAGAATAACGTGTGTATGAGCAACTTTCTTGAGAAACAGAAATCAAAGACCTGAGTTTTCACTAACTGGAATTTATTCTTTACTTTATTGTTGCAAAATAAAAAGCATCATAAAAATAAATAAATAAATAAATAAGATTGCTTCTTTATACCGTAATAATAGTGATGCAAATTGTTGTCAAAAAAGAAAATAAGTTAGTATACTTCCTGCTGCAAATAGCCAATATCAATTAAGTGAATTTTTCATAAATCATCTTACCTTAATCCACACTGCCTTGTTGACAAAGCTGAATGGGATAGATGGATTATCTGGTGTCTGCTTATTTAGAATGCTGAAATTAATGGTCTCTTTGGCAATTCGGGGTGGAGTCCCAGTCTTTAACCTTCCCATCACAAAACCCAACTTCTCTAGAGTCTGAGCCAACCCTATAGAAGGCTGATCCCCCAAACGTCCTGCTGGATGCATCTCCAATCCAATTACAATCATGCCTCTCAGAAATGTTCCAGTAGTCAGAATCACACTCTCTGCATATACTATGCTTCCATCCACTAAATGACAGAAAAGAAAGAGTAAAATTGTTTTTGAATTACCACAGATCAAATGGAATGTGATTATTTTACATTGGAACTACAGAAAAAATTTCTCAATTTAGACACTTGAGAATTATGTGCGTATGTGTATGTGTGTGGTGCTAGGGTTTGAACCCAGAACCTCACAAATGTTGGCAAGTACTCTACCAATGAGCAACACCCTCAGTCCTTTTTACTTTTTAATTTGAGACAGGGTGTCGCTTTGTTGAATAGCTTGGCCTAGAACTTGCATTCCTCCTGCCTCAGCCTTTGAGCCATTGGGATTACAGGTGTGCACCACTGCTACTAGTTTTTTAATATTTGCTTTTCTTCTGTTTCTTTTCCAAGTTTTATTAAGGTATGATTAATAAATAAAAAACTACATATTTAATGTCTACAACATGGTGTTTTATGCTATGTCTGTGTCACCATTCCCATAATCAAGCTAATTAATATACTTACTACCTCAGAGTTATAAATTTTTGAGTGTGTGATAAGATCATTTAAAATCCAGTCCCTTAGAAAATTTTATGTATAAAATATAGTATTATTAATTATATAGTTATCATGTATTGGACATTAGATCTCTATAGAATATTTATCTTTTTTTTTTTTTTTTAAAGACTGTCTGGCCATGTTGTCCCCAGGCTGGCCTTGAACTTTGATCCTCTGCCTCAACCTCTTAAGTAACTGGGAAGACAGGCAAGTGCTACCACACCTAGATTTAACTTATTATTATTTTTTAAATATTTTAGTTGTTGATGGGTCTGTCTTTCCTTCTCTCCTTCTCTTCCTTTCCTTTCCCTTCCCCTTCCTCCCTTTCTCTCTTTCGATGTGGTGCTCAGAATTGAATCCAGTGCCTCACACATGATAGGCAAGCACTCTACCACTGAGCTATAACCCCAACTTATTTTTAACATCCTCTAAGCGGGGTGCATTATTCCTGAAGCCATTTCAATACCAGGTTGCGATCTGGTAGGGAAACGACAATGTGTTATCCCAACTCATACGTTCCTAAAACCAACCTCAGCAACTTAGCAAAACCCTGTCTCAAAAAAAAAAAAGGGGTTGGGTATGTGGCTCAGTGGTTAAAAACCCTGAGTTTAATCCCTGGTACCAAAAAAAAAAAAACCCGAACAAACAACAACAACAAAACCCCCAAAGAAATTAGTTGGAAGAATGGTAACTGACTTAGTAGAGGGAAGAAAGCTATAATTCAAGCAGCTGATAGAAGATACCAGTAAGAATGAACTAATTGCCCTGCAAAGGCTCAGAAATTGCAGAACTAAGAATGAGAACTTAAGAATGTAGTAATAATTCTTGAGGCTAAAATAAAAAATAGTTTCAAATCTACACACTGAAGATTTGTCTCCAGATTTCTCTTTCAGGAAATGAGACTTAAGCTAGTCAGGAGTTATTATTTAATGGGTACAGAGATTTAACTTGGGATGATGAAAAAGATGGACAGTGGTGAAAGTTGCACAACATTGTAAATGTACTTAATGACTCTGAGTCTTGCTAAATTGCCAGAATGGCCTACAACTTGCAATTTTCCTGCCTCAGTCTCTCTGCAGCTGGGATTAAAGGCATGCAGCACTGTACATCGTTAAAATGGTAAATTTTATGTTAATTTAGACAGTATAAAGAAAAACTGTATTAGCTGGGCGCTAATACCACAAAAACAAAACCCCTGTATTGTTAGGCCTATAAAATATAGACAAAAATAATATATATAAAAATTAAATAACAGGAGTACAAATGACTTACAGGTAGATTGTTCTATAATAATACAAGTAATCATTAAATCCAGAGGAGAAAGGAAGTGGGGGTAAGAAAAGGAAATAAATGAAAGGATATAAAGCTAATTTAGTAATTATTCACAGCGAGAATTCAGTAAACACTAATTGAAAAAGAAATTTATGCAAACTATGTAAAACCATAGTTACTGGGATGAGGATACAGCTCAGTGATAGAGCACTTGCCTAGCATGCCTAAGACCCTGGATTCTATCCCTGGCACCACAAAGGAAAAAAATAAATCATAGTAATTAATGTAATCCCTATAACAAACAAAACCACAAATTTTAGAAACAATATAGTCTTCAAAAGCAAAACAAATATAAATCAAGTGAAAAAAAAATTGGTTTGAAAAATATACCAGATGAACCTTATAGCTTAGAAATTAAAACAAACCAAGAAAAAGTTATCCACGAATATAATGTATATAATAGTCTATTTTATCATTTACTACCATAAAATTATATATATATATATATAAATAAAAAGTTAAAATTTATCCAAACATACCCACACACAGATGGGGGTACAGTTCATGAGTAGAGTTCTTGCCTGGCATGTGTAAGGCTCTGGGTTCAACTGCTAGCAACACACACACACACACACATACACACAAACCTTTACACAGCATACACAGCATCATTCTTAGTAAAGAAAAATGTAAACAAAGATGCAGTATTAAATCATAATTGAGAAAAATTAATTTTTAGCTACCTCCTATTGCTATTTATTGAAGTGAACTTGGTGAGGCTAATCAATTCATATGAGTAGTTCATCTTTTTAGTAATTGTATCTGGCAATAAAAAGTGATATCTTGTAGTTCTCTATTTTTCACCATATGCAAAATATATGTAACAGAAAAAATACGTGTGTATGTGTTAATAACTGCTTACTTATTGGTAAAGCTTTTGGTTACTAGTTACCAATAAAACTTTGAGAGTCCAAAGCTATTTGAGAATTTTTGACTGCTTAGGAGTTAGAAAGGGTTGTTCAAGGGTCAATTGTGTATAAGCAGACAAAAAGACCACAGAAGGGCTGGGGTTGTGACTCAGTGGTAGAGCACTCGAGTAGCACATGCAAGGCCCTGGGTTTGATCCTCAGCACCATGTAAAAATAAACAAATAAAATAAAGGTATTGTGTCCAACTACAACTAAAAAAAAAAACCACACAGGAAACTAATAGCAGCAGATGCTCTTGAGATAGAGAACTAGTTGGCTAGCCAGGCATGGTAGCACATGCTTATAATCCCAGCAGCTCAGGAGGCTAAAGCAGAAGAATCAGACGTTCAGACAGCCTCAGCAACTTAGCAAGGCCCTAAGAAACTCAGGGAGACCCTTCCCAAAATAAAAAATAAAAAGGGCTAGAGATGTATTCAGTGATAAAACGCCTTTGGTTTAATCCCTAGTACTGCCAAAATAAAATAAAATAAAATAAAAAAGAAAATGACAAAAAAAGGAAAATAGAATTATATATTAAATGAAACCCCCAGAGAATCAATAGAAAAAGAAAAAAACAGAGAAGAAATACCCCAACAAGGGCATAGACTTATACATTAAAAGGAAACACTAAGTACCCCTATCACAATGAATAAACAGAGTATACTGAGGGACAACATCTTTAAATATCAGAACACCAGAGACAAATAAGACACTAAAGCTTTCAGGGAGAGAAAAAAAGACCTACACGTGAAAAAAATTTAAATCAATATAGCATTAAGCTTCTCAATAAGCAAAACCAGAAGCTAGAAGACAGTGGAGCCAGACTGTCAAAACTCTGAAGAGAGGGCTGGGGTTGTGGATCAGGGGTAGAGAGCTTGCCTAGCACATGTGAAGCATTGGATTTGAGTCTCAGCACCAAATAAAAAAATAAACAAATCAAAGTTATCAAACAAACAAAAAAACTTGAAAAAAGGACTAACCTTGAATTCTCTACTAGCTCCAAATTAAGAGTCATACCTGAGAGAAGAATAACATATTTTTAGACTATATAAAGACAAAAAAAAATTACCTCCCATGCATCTTTTCTTAGGAAGCTCCTAGAAGATGTGCTCCAGTAAAAATGAGGTAGTAAGGAAGAGACAGGAGCTCTAAGAAACAAGGGATATAACAGCAAAGTAGTGAAAGGAAATCTCAAAATATATCTGCGCAGGCCTCAGGAGCAATAGTCCTGATTATAGAAAAGAGGGTTCAGGGGCTAAAGAAATAGATTTCTAAAGAAATAGATTTCTCTGGGAGCGAAGCATCAAAAAAGAAAATTAGAATGGGAAGATTACTTGATATTTAAGTATTAACAAAATGATATTTGGACATGATAGTTCATGCTTATAATCCCAGATACCTGAGGAGATGAAATAATAAGATCACTTGAATATGAGGTCAGCCTGGGCCACACAGTGAGTGAGACCCTGTCTTGGAAAACAACCAAAAAAAAAAAAAAAAGGAGGAAGAAACATAAAGGAAGGTAAACAATATTATGCCATTTGGGTAGTGAAAAATATTTAAATAATCACAACAGTGTAAATACCATTTATTTATCAAAAATTGTGGCATAACTGGAGCTATGAGGAGTGGTAGAATTCATGCATGCGTAGTGTGCATAATACCCTGGTTTAATCCTCAGCACCAAAAAAAGAGAAGAGAACAAAAGGATTGGTATATAGTTTAGTGGCAAAGTGCCCCTCAGTTCAATCCTTGGTCACCAAAAAGAAAATGAAAAATATCAAAAGAAAATAAATATGGGTGTATATATTCCAGAAGTGACAAAAAAAAAGTTGAAGTAGCTCTCTATAGA